GCCCGTCTGCAGACCCACAGCCCCTTGAATGAGGGGAAGGCCAGGTTCCTTTGAAGGAGGACCCTGCTACATCAGTGAAGGTCTATACTGTTAGTCTTCCTTCTAGCCTTCCCCAAAGGGACCTGCAGCCTTTCACAAGAGTGACTGTTCATTGGAGGAAAGGAAATAATCAAACTTTGGGGGCATTCATGGACATTGGCTCTGAACTGACACTAATTCCAGGAGACCCAACATGTTTTGAAGGCCCACCAGTCAGAGTGGGGGCATATGGAGGTCAAGTTATCGATGGAGTTTTAGCTCAGGTACACTGCACTGTGGGTCTAGTGGGCCCCCGAACCCATCATGTCATTATTTTCCCGGTTCCAGAATTCATCATTGAAATAGACATACTTAGTAACTGGCAGAACCCCCATATTGGATCCCTGAGATGTGGAATAAGGGTTATTATGGTAGGAAAGGTCAAGTGGACACCATTTGAACTGCCATTGCCTAGGAAAATAGTAAACCAAAAGCAGTACCGCATTCCTGGAGGGATTGCAGAGATCAGTGCCACCATCAAAGACCTGAAAGATGCAGGGGTGGTGATTCCTACCACATCCCCATTTGACTCACTTATTTGGCCTGTGAAGAAGACAGATGGATCCTGGAGAATGACAGTGGATTATCGTAAACTTAACCAGGTGGTGACTCCAATTGCAGCTGCCGTTCCAGATGTGATTTCATTGCTTGAGCAAATTAATACTTCTCCTGGTACTTGGTATGCAGCTATTGATCTGACCAATGCCTTCTTCTCAATACCAGTCTCGAAGGACCACGAGAAGCAGTTTGCCTTCAGCTGGCAGGGGCAATACACTTTCACAACTCTCCCCCAGAGGTACATTAACTCTTCTGCCCTGTGCCATAATTTAGTCTGAAGGGACCTTGATCACCTGTCTATTCCACAAAATGTCACACTAGTCCATTATATTGATGATGACATTATGCTGATTGGACCCACTAAGGAGGATGTGTCAAAGACTCTAGATTAATTGGTACAACATCTGCATGCAAGAGGTGGTGAAATCAACCCAAGGAAGATTCAGGTACCGCAGTAACATTTTCAGGGGTCCAGTGGTGTGGGGCATGTTGAGATATTCCTACTAAAGTGAAAAATAAGCTATTGCATCTGCCCCCCTCAAAAAAAAAAACTGAACAGGAGGCACAACGCCTAAGTGGGCCTCTTCAGATGTTGGAGGCAGCATACCCCTCATTTGGGTGTTCTAATTCGACCTATTTAGCAAGTGACACAAAAGGCCTCCAGTTTTTGAGTGGGGCCCAGAGCAAGAAAAGGCTCTGCAACCGGTTCAGGCTGCCGTGCAAGCTGCTTTGCCACTGGGACCATATGATTCAGCTGACCCGATGGTGCTACAAGTGTCAGCGTAGATAAAGATGCAGTGTGGAGTCTTTGGCAGACCCCTACTGGTGAATCACAGTGCAGACCCTTGGGATTTTGGAGTAAAGTCCTGCCATCCTCTACAGACAACTACTCCCCTTTTGAAAAACAACCTGTTAGTGGAGGCTGAACATCTCACCATGGGCCACCAAGTCACGTGAGGCGTGAGCTGCCCATCATGAAGAACTAGGCATTGGCTGACTCACCGAGTCATAAAGTTGGACGTGCACAGCAACACTCCATCATCAAATGGAAGTGGTACATACGAGATTGGGCTAGAGCAGGACCTGAAGGGACAAGTAAGCTGCATGAAGAAGTGGCCCAAGTGCTACTTGTACAAATAGCTGGGATCTCCACTCCTGTCACATTACCTTCTTTCTCCCAGTCTGCACCTATGGCCTCCTGGAGACTTCCTTGCCATATTTTAACTGAAGAACAGAAAAGTCATGCTTGGTTTACAGATGGCTCTGCACGATATGCAGGTGCCACTCGTAAGTGGACAGCAGCAGCACTACAGCCCCTTTCTGGGATCTCCCTAAAGGACAGTGGTGAAGGGAAATCTTCCCAATGGGCAGAACTTCAAGTAGCGCACCTGGCCGTTCAGTTTATCTGGAAGAAGAAATGGCCAGATGTGAGACTGTATACTGACTCATGTGCTGTGGCTAATGGCTTGGCTGGATGATCAGGGAATTGGAAGGAACATGATTGAAGATTGGTGACAAGGAGGTGTGGGGGAGAGGTATCTGGATAGACCTCTCTGAATGGGCCAAGGAAGTGAAGATAATTGTATCTCACGTGAACGCTCACCAAAGGATTACCCCTGAGGAGGAGGACTTTAATAATCAAGTGGTTAAAATGACACGCGCTGTAGAGACTGGTCCTCCTCGTTCCTCTGCCACTCCTGTTATCGCCCAATGGTCACATGAACAAAGTGGACATGGGGCAGAGATGGAGGTTATGCATGGGTGCAGCAATGTGAACTTCTACTCACCAAGGCTGACTTGGCCACTGCCACTACTGAGTGCCCCATCTGCCAGCAGCAGAGGCCAACACTGAGTCCAAGATATGGGACCATTCCTCGGGGAGATCAACCGGCAACTTGGCGGCAGGTTGATTACATAGGACCACTTCCATCATGGAGGGGACAGCGTTTTGTTCTTACTGGAAGACACCTACTCTGGATATGGATTTGCCTTTCCTGCATGCAATGCTTCTGCCAAAACTACTATTCGTGGACTTACAGAATGTCTCATCCACCGGCATGGCATCCCCCATAGCATTGCTTCAGATCAAGGAACTCACTTCACAGCAAATGCAGTGCAGCGATGGGCCCATTCCCACGGAATCCACTGGTTGTATCATGATCCTCATCATCCTGAAGCAGTTGACTTGATAGGACGATGGAATGGGCTCCTAAAGACACAATTACAGCACCAACTAGGTGGCAACAACTTGTGGAGCTGGGACGATGTTCTCCAGGGAGCTGTATACACTCTAAACCAGCAGCCAATATATGGTGCTGTGTCTCCAATAGCCAGGATTCATGGGTCCAGAAACCAAAGGGTGGAAGCTGGCATGGCAACACTCACTATTACTCCTAGTGATCCACTTGCAGCATTTTTGCTTCCTGTCCCAGCAACCCTGTGTTCCTCACGCCTGGAGGTCCTGGTCCCAAAGGAAGGAACTCTCCCACCTGGAAACACAGCACGGATTCCACTGAACTGGCAGCTGAGAATGCCCCCTGGCCACTTTAGGCTTCTCATGCCTTTGGATCAACAGGTCAGGAAGGGTGTTACTGTACTGAGTGGTGTGATTGATCCTGAGTACCAAGGAGAAATTGGACTGGTGCTACATAATGGAGGTAAAGAAGAATATGTCTGGAATCCAGGAGATACCGTAGGCCGACTCAGAACTGCCATGCTCTGTGATTAAAACAGGTGGTAAATTACAGCAACCCAATCCTGACAGGACATCTAATGACCCAGACCCCTCAGGAAGGAAGGTCTGGGTCACCCCACCAAGCAAAGAACCATGGCCAACTGAGGTGCTGGCTGAGGGCAAACGTAATACAGAATGGGTAGTAGAAGGTAGTTCTACCTATCAATTACCACCACGTGATCAACTGCAAAAGCGAGGTTTGTGATTGTCAGTTTATCTTCTTCATGTGTGCTTATTGAATATCTTTCCTTTGTTCATGTATGGTGTACCAGCTACAATTAGATTCAGTGTGCTTTCATTTATATGTAGGATAGATGTATGATGTTAGGTGTAAGTGTGATTTCATTAATGTCTGGAAATTATGTATGGCTAAAGAATTAAATACAGGTGACAAGTTGGCAAGGAGTGGACTGTGATAGGTAGGTTTATTGTGACAACCTGGCCAATAGGAACATGTGGGATTAACCAGGCCGCAGTTTGATTGGAGGGCAGAGATAAATGGTTCAGCAAGGCTCACCTAGTGCTCTCTTGATATCTGATGATAGGACTAGCTTGGGGCTGCTTCAGCTCTCTGACTCAACTTGCTAGCTAAACTACCTGTGGGACAGCCAACCCATGGATCTTGTCGCTAGAGCTTGAGTTTTCTTCGAGACCTGCTTTGCCAAGCTTGAGGTATATGCATCGCTTGAGCTTGAGGCTGGTAAGTCCTGTTGTCTTGGGTTGCTCGAGTTTGCTATCCCATCCAGGCCTGATTTGCTAAGCTCCTGAGATGCTGTTGGTGACCTGCCCTGCTGTTTGCTGCCTGTGGGTGGACTCAGCTGTCTGTTTCCTTGACCTTGGACCCGACATCCCACAGGAGTTGAAGGACTTCCAGTATATTAACTGTTCCACGGGAGTAGAATTGAGCCTTCTGTACTGCTGTGTAGACTAATTAGCTGTTATGGCCCTTCTCGCTGTAAAAACCTATCCATATATATATATTTATATAATCCTAAGTGTCCTGGTTTTGTTTTAGTGAACCCTGCGTACCACAAGTGGTTTCATTGTTTCTTTACAGACTTCTAAGGCCCTCAACCAGATGGGTTGACACTGTGGCTGTACCCATGCACTCAGGGACAGGAACAATTGTCCAGACAGCTCAGGACCGAGCAGTGTTTCGTTCTGTTGTGCACAGGGTCACTATGGGTCAGAGTGAGGTACTTTCTAATAATCTGTGTCTGAGACTGTATCACAAATACTCCAAGGTTTCAGGAGGCTCTGCAGACCCCACACTGGGTTCAGCTCCACAGCTCCATCTACTTCAGTTTGGGGGAAAGGAGCAAGGAGGAGGTGGTTAAGGCACCTTGCCAGTGCTGTGGGGGTAACCGTTGGGCTGCTAACCACAATGTCGGTGGTTCAAGTTTCCCATAAAGATGGGCAACCAGAAAAAGAACAGTCTGGAGGGCAGTGGGGATGGTCTTCTGGGTTAACCCAAGGGTGCTTTCTGTGCAGTCCCCACCTGCCCTCCTGCTCTACCCAGGAGGCCTCAGGAGGAGCCGACCCGTGTTGACTCAGATGTGAGCACTTTGGTTTGCCAGGCTGTTGGGGCAGCTGAAGACCCTGTCCCTGCCCTACAGAGAAGCCAGAGGGAAACAGCACAACATAGACACTTTATTGTCCAAAACCGGATAAAAATCACCCTCCTAACCACCCCCCTCCACCCCCAGCCTCAGATGCTGTGGGGGATACAGGACAATGGTCGTGGGCGGTGGGGGTGTGGCATGGCATGGCCCTGGAGCAGGCAGAGAAGGAAGACTTAATGAGTCAGCATCCCTGAGGACATGGGAAGCTGCTTTCCGACCAGCTGGTCGTGGGATCCAGGCCAAGGCAGGGAGATCCAGGTCCCCTCAGAGGGAACACCTGAACAAAAGCAGACGGCTGTGTCTAAGTGACTCCGCCCTTCCTGCCAACGTGGGGAAGCAGCTGAGGAGGCTGCGCTGGGGCTGCGCTGCCTGGTTGTGGGTCCAGGCACCTCATCTCAAGGGCTGCAAATGGTTGTGGAGCTGCTCTGCCTGGGTCTTCAGGCGCTGGAACTCCTCCTGGATGAAATCGGTCAGGGCTTTGCGCATCTCCACCTGACAGGTGAAGGCTGGGTGAGTGGGTGGGCAGGGCTGGGGGCTGAGGGCAGGAGGTTCAGGGCAAGAGGAGGCACTTACAGCTGACTTGTTCTCGGCCCGCAGCCGCTCTAGCACAGGCAGGGCGCTGAAGGGCTTGCCAATGAGCACGGTGATCCTCTATGGGGACAAGGCCCAGCCATGAGGCCGCAGCCTGATCCTGCCCCTTCCAGAGCGAAAGCTCTAGTGGGCCTGCTCCCACCAGACAAGAAGCCCTGCTCTCTGTCCCCTCCACAGTGGGGCCCGAGGGCAGGTGGTAGACACACGGAGGGCAGCAGCCCCACTTACTTGACCAAAGCGGGGGAAGTAGGGTGAGCGGTTAGGAAGGACGTCATTCATCCCTGCAGCACAGTGGAGATCAGAAGTTGGAATACCACCAGGTGGCTCCCCCCACCTTGCACCCCTTCCCCTCTCCAGGCCCAAACACAAGGCATACCAACATGCCACAGTGGAAGGATGATAGGGTCGAGATGACATTCAGCAACCAGGCGCCCAATTCCTGCCCAAGGATGAGCAGAAGCATTGGGGGACCCGCCCTCTACCAGTGGAAGCCACTGCCACCCAGGCACCCATCTAGGGTGGGCATCCTTACCCCACTTGAAGCGCAGGAACTCAGCACTCATGTTCACTTTCCCTGTCGGGAAGCGGGTGGGCGAAGCAGGGGTTGTAGCCTTCACCCTCCCAGGAAGGACCTGCCCAACCACCCGCCCCCTCCCTGCCACTGACCTTCAGGAAAGATATGCACCCAGTCCCCGTGGTTGAGCTTCTCCAAAATGAAGTCCATCCCCCTCTGATAGACGCCGTCCCCTGTGGCAAAGGCCTGCTTTGTCAGGGCCACACAGCTCCCCACACCAAACTCAGCCAGCTTCCGCAACTGCCAGGCACAACCTCCTAGGCTGCTCCCACCAAACACCACCTAGCCCCCTGAAAAACCCAAGCCCCCTTGTCCGGCTCTGAACTACGGATCCTGCTGCCATTGGCATCGTGCTCCAAGCCACAGATGCAATCAGGGCCTGAGCCCCACTCACCCCCCAAGGCAGAACTTCACTAGCTCTCCAGTCTCGGACCAATCGTAGCCATATGGTGCTTGGAAAGAGGCCTACCATACTTTCCCAGGGGGAGAGAGACCCAGGTGAGGATCCCAACTGCCAGCACCGACCTGACCTCAGTCTCTGCCTTCATCCCTCAGAATCCCCATTTTCCTGTCTGAAATGGGAGCCGAGGGGGCCCTTTCCTCCCAGAGGGGTCTCCACATCAGACCCCCTCACCCTACAGCAGCAGCACCTTCCTAGATACCCACGTGACAGCATGGCCCAAAGCAGCCACCATCTGCTCCCTGTCCCAGGTGGGTCCCCTACCCTTTGGGTGACCCAGACAGGATGCGGCTGACCTCGACACACGGGCACACACTTGCCCAGGCTGAAGAACCGGGAGTGTAGCTCTGTGGTGAAGCAGATGTCGGCGGCAGCAGGGGTCCTGTAGAGGGCAGAGGTTGTTGTCCGGGACCCACGCGGCCCCTGTGGTGCCTGGCACACGGGGAGGGCCTTTGGGGCCCCACCCTGTGCTCTGCCTGGATTGCTGGACACCGCCTCCTGGGCAGAGCAGGAGGAAGTGAATCTGGGCAGGCAGGTAGGACCCATTCCTCCTCACCAACGCATCAACTTCAGGTTCCAGATGTGGCGGAGCTTCAGGATCCCTAGGGGAGAGGAATAGCAGGCCTGGTGGTGCAGGTTACAAGCTGGGGTGCCAACTGCAAGGTCAGCAGCTTGAGCCCACCTGCCACTCCGAGGGAGAAAGACGAGGCTGGCTGCTCCTGTAAAGATCTTCAGCCTTGGAAACCCCCAGGGGCTGTCCCGAGAGGGTCCCTGGAGCACTCTGTGTGGTCTGTCACCCTCCCCAGGCATGTAGGTTGGACCCTTGTGCCTCCCACATCCTAGAAGGTCCTAGTGGTCCCTGCTCTGCTCTGCCTTGCCTACCCCCAGAAGGTTGGGAAAGCCCCTCCTCCCGCCCTCCCACCAGCAGCCTGGAGACCAGACTGGGTTCCCAGAGGTTCCTCAGGGCCCCAAACCCGGGGCCCCGGTACCCCAGAGATGAGGGTCGTCCATGCAGGACTGGTGGTTGGAAAGGGTGATGAGCGGTGTGTGAGGGCCCCGGTTCTCGATGAGCTCGTACAACACCTCCTTATTGTGGACCATCAGGTGGTTCATATACTCTGGGGGA